CTGTTTTTGGAACGAATATTACCAACTCGTAACGTAATTTGTATTACACAATCATCTACTAGTACTATAAAGGATTAGTTTTCGTTACAATTTTGTAATTTAGTAATGACTGAATGAAATTCCCATTCACTGTCCGTATATTTTAATACCCACTGAAAATAATATCTGAAAGTTATTAATTAATAAAGGGTTGGTACCTAATCACTAATAGCATTATAAACATATTTTGTTCCGCCATCCTGTAGCTAAAATTATCGTTATAAAATTAGTCCCATCAGGGACAGAGGATCAAAATTAAACTTTATAAATAGCTCACTAAAAGTAGTTAGTTATTAATACAGGGTGAAATGTAATGAGATTACTACTATGTTGTGATAAAACTATTTCTTTTTAAGGTAAGGGTCTTGAAGGGATTGTGTAAAGTAGGTACCTAATTATCTATTGTGTCCAGCAAAGCGTAAGTATTTTGATAAGTATTGCACTGCACTTCCATTTTCATATTATTTGCAACCTAGATTGAAAATGATTCCCTTGATCCGTCTCCAATCCAAAATCCATCAAAATTAGTTAAGTGTAAGTATATGCAAACGTAAACTGACAAACATACACAGGCATAATATTAATACATTTGCTAAACATCAAAACTGTCTCATTTCCCATGAATTCCCGCTTAAATTATACATCCTAATTACAATACACAGACAGTCCCTTGAAGCCCAATTTCAAAGGTTGCTGTACATATGTACGTCGATGTGACGATCGCTCGCTCGGGGCTATATCCCGAACACCCTGTATGTTTATGTGCGGCGGCTGGCTCAAAGCGGCCCTTTGATCTGTGTAGGTATAGACTAGCACAGCCCTTCTATTTCGGTGGGCGTCTTGGGGAGCCAGTTAAAACAGGGTGTATTCCAGAATTGTGGTTAGATTAGTTGAGGTCTGAGTTTAAATCAATTATTTTATTATACTTTTATTAGGGCAAATTTTTAAGAAATTTTAAAAATTTCCACCACTTTTCTTAATATTATCTGATGTTATGTAGGACAAGCAAGGATTTCGGAGTTAAGAGTATTGTAATTGTAAGAGTAATTGAATGTGTAATAATAGCCATGAAAAATGCTCAGAATCTAAAAGAATTTGAATCTTCAAAACGTGTTTTATAGTTTTTATAATTCACATCATGACATCATGCATTCTGTTTTAATGGTAGGTAGGTAGTAATCTTAGAACAGATTATTAAAAAAATATTTTTCGAAAGCTCAACTGCTTATTTTGTAATAAAAAGTAGGTACTTCCAAAAGTACCTAGTCTATCGATTTCAGTGTACCTATCTAACATTTGTTTACTTTAGAGATAGAGGTAGCCCATCATATTATGGCAGAAAAGCTTATATTGGTAAAATAATTGAGTTTATTACGTCACGAAAAAGTATCTCATGCGTCAAGAGAGCTAGTTCGGATAACTTTATAATTTGGAAGTGTGTTTTGGAATTTAATTTGTTAGTAAGCTACGAGTATATTTGGTATAGTGTTCAAAAAAGGGCCTAATTGTATTTGAATGAAGTTTTCATGTTTGATTTGTTATGAGGTTTTGAAGAAATCTTTGTATGGCTTTGATTTTAAATATGCATAATGACATACTACAACCATTAGGCTATCGCAAATCAGTATTTTTCTTGTATGACACTGATAAATAGCACTTAGAAGGGACATTAAGAACTCTTCCTGCCGGTATCTATCATGGCAACCCCAAACAAACAAAAGGTAGAGACATTCCGCCCCAAACGACATCACTACACTTCATTACGCGGCGCTCGATAACTCACGGCGAATAAATATTCAACGCGCCATACATCTCACTAATTTACTACTACCAAACCCCATAATAACCATTTATCCGGAACCCGGCGTATAAAATATACTACGACATTTTTCTTTGCCTTATCTTCGGAGACCAGACGGGGCAGACGGTTACCTCTCCCTCTCACACTTCTAACTTTCCCGATCGCGCTGTTTCTTTTACCCTGTATTTATCATGGGTTGGGTCCTTTTATTTAGTTTAGTAGAGGCTTAATGGATTTATCCAGTTGTCGTTCTTTGACCTTGCCTGTTTGTCTTAGCGTGAAGGAGCCTTAAGGCTGACCTCCAAGCGTTTGCGCCTCAATGGAGAATTTTTAAGCGTTCTTAGTATATTTTCGCGATCTCACAGAGTTCATTGTGTTTTCAGTTCGATTTCTTGAAGCGTTACAATTGGATTTCAGTCCTACTTTTATTTGTAAAGAATTTTATAAATGCGAAATATAAAACCTGTGTGAGTAAACCGTACTTTACGAATGTAGAGCTCAAGAATTGTTGACTGATTTTATTCTAGTATAACCTAGTCTATCCATCGTCAGACTACAGTATTTCTTTTCCAATGTCAACGAAAAAAAATAAAGCGTCGTCCTAAAAAGGGACTTTCCCTTACATGTCTCATAATCTTTTTACATTTTGGCAACATTCTTCCAACAAGTTAAAACAGAAACAGATTATCTGTTTATCCGCTTTTCAGATCCGTTTACAAACACTTACTAAGTATTAAATTACCAAGATGCAAATGTTGACTAAGTAATTACTCAGATTCTAGGTATTCTAGGTGAAAATGTATCAAAATCACAAAGCGGTATGGTTCGAACGGCCTCTTTACAGTGCTGTCAAAACAGTAGCGTGCCTCCGGGCTCGCTTTGTTACTGGCCAATTATTTCGGCTTTGTGCGGCTGTACGCCGATTTACCTTTGCTCTGAATTAAAAATAATAATGGAGTAGGCATGTAGAGAAACAAAACTTCGAACTTCGAGTCATTAATTTCAAAAATCGAACAGTTTCAAAATTTTAAATGCTGCTTTAGTTTTTTTCTTACGGTATGTAGTGGTAAAGGTGGCCAGTGTTTTAATAATGGAAAACAATAAGTTTTCATGAAAGAGGTTTTTTATGGAGTGTAATAGGAGATTAATTAACAATCTAAAAATAGTACCTACGCTATGATATCAATTTTAAATATTAACTTTTTTCACAAACTTATTTTAGGATAGCTTAGCGTATTCCCAAAATCTTTAAAAGCATACATTGGCAGTTACTTTTCGACTCGACGGAATATCGAGTGATCTACTATAAAGTTAGACCCAGCGGACTGCGTAAGTATCGCGTTACGTACTCGCACTTTCACGCTCCGTGTCGCGGCTGATGATACCGTGACAAGTGACGTGGTCACCGCAAGATTGGTGGCTCATTTGATTTTGGATCTTAAGTTAACAAGATTATGTTCAAAGTTCATTGGGGAAATTCGTTATTTTGTGGTAGGTTGATATGCTACTCTGTACATGCCAACCACTTTGAGTTTACGGGCATATTTTCGAAATAGCTTTGCGTAACGTAAATTGCATTTACTACGAATACCTACTTTTGGTAAAGTACTTACGTGCAATATTAAATTACTGAATGTTCCGAAAATGTATTGAATATCAGTCCAATTAATGCAGGTTAATTTTGTAATTCATTAATCTACCTATGCATCGAGTGGTGTTGTCAATGTTTTATTTTTTAAACATGTTTGTACCTATTTAAAAATTCAATAAACCTATAGTCGGCAGTACAGCATATCATACTTCACAATGTTGTTGTTAAATCAGACCTATTTACAACTTTTAAGACGCTACAGTCAACTTTATGCACCGTCGTCCGTACTACAGTTTAATAAAATTCTCGTTTGCATAACTTTGCCTATCTGTATACAAATAGCTTCGCAACGTATACGCAAAAAGGGTCTTTGTAGATGTTTCTTTTACCTTTTGTTTATGAGCGCTTATCTTTTATAATCTGTGCGGGATCGAAATTAAAAATTCCATATCTCCAAGCGAGTCTGCAGCTATGTGGTACTTTCGGAAAAATGCTCAAAGCCACCTAATTGGAAACAGAGTACAGACCACTACAAAGGGGGATGTTTGAGATAAAAATGAAAATTAAATCTTCCAACCGGATGGGCACAGTAATGTTTTTGACGGTGGCGGTGGCCGCCCCGCAGGGAGGGGGGTTATCCCGCAAATCGACTATCAAAATGCCGAAAAAAGTGCTGCTCCCAGACTGTGTGACCGGCTGTTGCGGATTTTCAGCCTTTTTGGTCGATTTTTAGCTTTATTTGGCGGTCGCCGACCGGTTATCGATTATTTTAGACGTACAATGTGCAGACGGATATTCTTGCAAATTATAACGGCTCCCAAAACGGTCTGGAATTATCCGTGTACCTATTTGGAAATCGTTTGTAATTAAATAACTTTGTTAGCCGTGGCCAGACTACTCTACCAGAGTCAGGCACAACTTGTCCGCATACTAGCTGCTGACTCTAAATATTTATAATACATTCAGCAACACTGAAAACTGGCAATCGTCCAAACAAATAAGACCATACACGTAAACACCATTCACTCCGATTGTCTGATAGCACAGCGGAATATGTAGAGATCGCTTCTTAGCGAGACCGCCTAAATTGAGTTTTAGGGTTCCGTAGTCCTGACAAGGAACTCTTAGGCTGGGTTGCACCATCTTACTTTAACTTTGACAAACGTCAGTAATCTGTCAAATTCCATACAAAAAGCACCGGTTATTGTTATTGTTACGGTTAAACAAGGAGGTGCAACTCAGCCTTTTATAGTTTCGATATGTCTGTCTGTCTGTCTGTCCGAGGTTTTGTTTGTATTATTTTCAAAGTTAAAATTTTGTTTTAAGGCGGGCATAAGGTGTAACATAAGTATCTCAATTGCGATAGTATTTTTTTTAAACTTTAATGCCAAATTTTAGGTCTTGTTCAATTAATTATGTCTTGTTAACTGAGCTAGTATTTTAGTTTATATTTTGAAGTAAATCTTGGATGCGCGATATTTATTAATTTGTTCTAATTATGCCTTATCACCTGAAAACAGTACACAGAAGTATCAATATTCACAATATGGCAAGAAGAATCCGACTTACTTTTCTTCATCCCCGCCATGTCCCCCCCATTGCATCCAATCGCTTGGGGCCCCGGACTCAAGCTGTGCAGCTGGTACGGGGGGGTCCGCGTGTCTATCTGCGCGGGCCAGGGGGCCCGGGGCCAGGAGGGCGCAGCCCCCGGGGCCCCGAGGAGCCGCAGCCGCTCGTACACCGGCGTGGAGCAGTCGGAGGCTGGCTGCTGGCTGTTGGTCTTCTCTTTCTGGGCTGCTAGGTTGCGGAGCACCCGGTTGATGGAGGAGACCTGGTTGAGAAGTAAGTGATATTTATAAAATTATAAGTGCCAATAGTAGCGTGGGCAGGCCTCCTACTAGGTGGACTGATGATCAGGTAAAGGTCGCGGGAAGAACCTGGATGCAGGCAGCGCAGGACCTTTCATTTCGAATACCTTGGGGGAGGCCTTTGTCCAGCAGTGGACGTCATTTGGCTGAAACGACGACGATGACGATGAAGAGCCATTATGAATAAAAGTAATTAAATGACTTAGGTAACAATAGCAGTGTTTTTAAGCTGAAAATAATTTGCCGGTCTCTGATCAATTTTCTCAACGAAATACTAATTTACAACGTAGGTATTTAGATGCCTATAAAACATGGGTAGTGACAAAGTTTATGGCATTAAGTTCGCCTTATGTTCAAATTTTAGCATTAAAGCATAAATAAAAGTAAATGCTTTATTAAACTTTAAAGTATCTTAAAATTAGTAAGTTTTCAGAAACTTCAGAGTACAATAGGTATCACTTTTATAACCCATTGTTAGTAAATGAAAAGTAGAGACTTTTATACAGGTGTTTACTCACGACAAAACATAACGCAGAACATGGATACTCAATTAAACCTCAAGTTTATTTACTCGTTTAAGTACAAGAAACACGTGTATCAAGTAATTAACATCAATTACGTAAGTTTGAGGGCCTGTATATCATCTTGTGTGTGTGGTGCACACCCATCCGATCGGGGCTCGTCACTCGTGTGCTTGGGATAAAGAATGGTTATTGATGATGAATTTTATATTATGTGTAAAGGCAAGTTTTTCCTATAGGTGGTTCAAACTGATTTTTGACAAGTTTAAAAAAAATAGCGTTAAAAGTAGAAATATGTGGATTTTTGTCTGTCACAGAAAAACTTAATCGCGCGCGTCCCTGTTTCAAAAACTGGGATAAAAACTATCCTATGCTCAGATCTATGATCTGAGATCCTATGTCTTTCCCGGGACACAAACTATCTCCAATGCCAAATTTCATCAAAATCGGTTCAGTGGTTTAGGCGTGAAAGCGTGACAGACAGACAGAGTTGCTTTCGCATTTATAATATTAGTATAGATAGGTATAGCAGAAACAAATGCAATTCAAAATGGTATTACACTGGTTAACTAGACTTCAAAGTTATGATGATGAAATAGAAATAAGTAATAAGTCGGTGTTGATGAATTATTCTAATAGCTTTTTAAGCTGTAGTTATTTTAACTGTGATGATTAAGAGGGTCATTGATTCACCTTTTTAAAATAATAATCATCATGCCCTTCGACTGATCTAAAAACCACCCGATAGCCCACCCATCGACAAAAGAATGAAAACCGAAAATGTCCGCCGTACCAACTGTCATATGCCATGTGACAGCGCGCCAAAACGGACGTAGCGTAAGTTAGACGTAGGGCAGGAAGGCCGTACGTAAGACGATAGATGGTAACCCGATACCGCGCCGCGTGGTGGTCCGGACTCCTTGGTGACTGGCAGCTGACGGCATGCCCGATGGACCGAGAAAGCGCGCGACGAGAACGCACCTTTTTTAAAAACAAAACCTTTTTGTCTATTCCGATTTCAAAAATTCAAATCGAGAACTAGGTTTAGGGTCTACGGTCAATCAGGCACGAAATTATTCGTATTCTCAGAAATGCCAAACAAGTAGGTAACAAGTATCAATACCTGTTAACATAAAAATGTTTAAAAGATTTAATTATTATGATGGCAAAAGAACCTATTTGTATTATTTTCAGTTAAAGGGTTGTTATCTAAAATTGGAATATTTTAACAAAGTTTATAACAAATCGCATCCAAATGAAAATCATGCGAAAAATTTGTTCGATTAGAAAATTTTAACAAGAAATACAATTAAAAGTCAAACGAAAAGATCTCGAAGGAGTGAAATATTATGGAAATAAAAATGAGTAAAGGGTTGTTGTAAATTCAGTTTTCATACAAATGAAACGGAAATTTTTAACAAGCGTCCTTCTATAGGCGAGGATCAATGAGTCGCGTCAATTAAATGTTTGTTTACGAATTTGTTTAAAGGGTATTATTTGCTTGTGAATTGATTAGCATGGGTAATTAGACCATTTTCGATTCCTTTGTGATAAATTAATAAAGATTTATAAGAGTGAAATGTTAAACGTAAATAAATACCATCGTAATCACTGCAGGTATGAAAACAAACGGTAGGTAACTCTGGTTAAAAATGAAAATGATATTTATTTAGTCCAAAAATATTACAGTACATGATTTAGTTACTGTTACATTCTGAATAGAAACGGATTACAATTTATACAGTAAGTATGTACTAACAGCATCACTGGACTCCACACTAGGATTCCCTGTGTCGTGGAGACCAGTCTTCCCGTTGAAATTTCGAGATAAAGTGCGTGCATGACTTTGTATGTAAGTATTTTGAAAATTTTAACATACTTGAAAAAAAGTAGCGAGAAACTTGCTGATTTGAGTGAACTTAGACAAGTAGGTCTCATCAGTAATTTTTTTCAATAGGAATTACACTTTCAGAAGTTTTATCATATTTTTTTATTTAAATCTTTATTATTCAATGGAAGCCCTTTTCAAGGCACTTGAGTAAGTATATGGCTATTTTCATCGAATTATAACACAAATATATGTAAAGGCAATACACAACGTTGCTCAAATCCTACGCTGCTTGGCCATGTGTGAAACGGCCTGCGCTGGTCGTTCGTAAAAACACTACGTACGCGTACGCGCCTGTAAACAGTCCTTAATGCGGATCACACGCGCCAATTGACTTGTTTCCACGGCTGTGTACCGCTTAATGTGCGTTTAAAAAAAGAATATTTTTGTCTATGGATTTCAATAATTTCATTTTGGTTTTTAGATTTTGCAAGTGATAAAAATTGAGATAACAAATAAAAATAGAAAATTTATGTTCATATTCAGATGGTGGATTTATATTTTCACAAGCTTCAAAAATAGACACTTTTGTATTTTTGTTGCTTTTTATTTACAAGGCTTATTAATTATTCAGAAGTTTTTTAATGTTGCCCAAAAATAGCTGTTATCTTCTTTTATTTTAACTGAACAACTTTACCTATAATCAACAGTCCTATACATTTTTGGTGGAAAATCGCAACTATTACAACTACATAAGAAGCTACTATGTTTAGCTTAATGCGCCGTCATCCATTGCTTTTAACTGTTCAACCTGACTGTATTCATAGTAAAAGGATTAAGAGCAATAAAAAGCATCGATGTTTATAAGAAAAAAATCCGGTCCCAATCTCCAACTCGTTTTTGCCCGCAGCAATGCGACCTGTCCCACTGTGCATTGAGCCACATTCGAATTACACACGTCGATTGCCCCGTTTCCATGACTCCCTAGCCTCAATTACCTGAAACCCCACCGTAAAATCTGTTTGTATGTGTTTACGAACTCAATTTCTTTACTACTGCACATAGACAATGTCCGCTGCACAATGGGTGCGGTCTGAGCGATTCCAGTCAAAAGATTTTTTGCAGTTTTAGTTTCACGGTGAATTAGACTTAATTTGAATTTAATTCGGTTTTGATGTAAAGGGTTTGATTTTTAAATTTAATTTTGTAAGGACTCAAAAAACAGAAAAAGTTGCCAAGTTTGGTAATACGAGAACTTAAACGTAGATGCATATCATTATGAAAAAATATTAGGTGGCACAAAAACTTGGATAATGAAACCACTTTTAACACTTTTACCAATAATGTGTCATGTGCTCTTCAGTAAAATACAGAGAGAGTTTTTTAGAAGAAGGCAAAAAATTTATTCAATAATTCCATAACCCAAGACGGTCAGATATTAAAACCATAATTACTTAGGTTTCAGTAAGATTTTAACTGGTTGGTTTTAATCAGTTCAGCTGTTGATAGAGACGGACGAGACCATAATAAATTTACAATGTTACGAGTTTAATATTGGCTGAATAATTTAACGACAGCCATTCTCTTGACAACTCTTGATATTGTCTCCAAATTGGAAACAAAGAAATAAAAAAATCAAAATAACCGTTTCAACAACCTCAAATCAGTTACGTTCCGTTCGACGCGGCGCGTTTTGAATACAAAATAAATTACATCACAACGTCCCGCCGTCAAACGGCACAGTAAAAAGTACGAAAGGTGCCCCCTAAATACCGGGTGAGGTGAAGCGGCAAAATTATCTTATATTTGCTCAGACGCCGTGAACGCGGGGCGAGAATACTTTTCAATAAGCTTAGAGAGCGTTTTTTTTTATTTCGCGAGACCTATCTTGTAAGCGCTGTGTAAAACGGAACGTAAATAGAGGGTCTTTATTGATTCTGTTTTTGATTACTGAAGTTTTATGCAATTTTATTATGAGATTTGTTAAGTTTAAATCTCATTATTTTATTTGAACGTTGCATTTAAAATGGCAGATTCTTTCTATCGAAGACTATCTTTGATTTATGTGTTTTAATAATTAGAATTTTTGGCGTTTAATTAACTCAACAGAGAACTGTACTAAAATCTTTGAATTTCTTTATTAACTTCTCTTTTCACAAACTTTTATCTGCTCAAAACTTTTCAATTAAAATATATTTGTTTATCTGTGGAAAGATTTATTCCACTTTGAACCAAACAGTCTAATCACTTTCACCTATTCCATTAATTGCAGTGTGCAATTCTCAAAGCGTTCGAACAATAAGATTTTATTCAAATCTTACATCGAACTGCTCGCAAAAAACGGTGCATTACCGTCGAGTGCGGGACAAAAGGCAACCTGCTGGTCCTTTGTGTGACGGCACTTTAGGAGTCAATATTTTGGGTGACTCCTTAGGGCTGCGTTGCTAAGCGTAGGTTAAGGGAGGCTGAATTTAGGGCGAAATGCAGAATTTAACCTGTTTTTTATGAAAAAGAAGTTTGATTGATTTTTGGGGAACATAATTTTCATGTTATGACTCATGTCGTTAGATACTTTTCTTTATTGTAAAAAAAATGTATTAAAACGAAAAGAAAA